AAATGTTACTCTAACGTCTCATGACAATGACCTATGACTGTGCCAAAATTGAACGAAATTGACTAAACTGATCTTGAGTTATCCTGTTAACAAAAAAGTGTGAAAATAAATAAAAATAAATAATAATAATAATAATAATAATAAAGAAAGAAAATTCTGACGAAAACAATAGGTGATCTGTCGTTGACAGACCACCTAATAATAATAATAATAATAAAGAAAGAAAATTCTGACGAAAACAATAGGTGATCTGTCGTTGACAGACCACCTAATAATAATAAATAAAGGCAATTTTAACAAAAATATAAGGTGGTCTGTATTAGATACAGCCCACCTGATAAATAAAGGCAATTCTAACGAAATTATAAGGTGGTCTGTACGATATACAGCCCACCTGATTAGTGGTTTATACATTGAATATGATAACCCACTCACCCTGACAATCTGGCCTAGAGGACCGTTTCCTCTCGTTCCCGCTTCTTACATGTTGATTGTAATTTGTCAACACCTGAAGGAATAATAATTAATACAAATCATTGTAAATTTGACTCTAAAACACCAAACTGAAGAAGGTTCAGATTATATCCGTTAACTGTTAACTCAAAACATTACTTTAAATTACAACTGTCTTGCAAAATACGATTATCCAGAGTTAAACTCAACAACACATTATATAACTAAAACTTCTAAAGATTACAAGTAAGATAACAGATAACATAGTAATATTCGAATCATCTCAAATTACTATAACCAAATCTTAATCTAGTGCTTAACTCACTAACGAAATCAACCTATACTGATGATTAAACAAATAATATGCCACACCTTACATAATGCATATTAATTCAACACAAACTATATCGTTAAAAACGATACCAAGGTTATTAACTAACATCAAAATACATCTACAAAATATAATTATCTCAATAATTATCCAACTTAACAAAAGAATAATCTTCTTACCTATATAATGACATGTTACACCAAAAGCTTGCAGAGTCGACCTCCCTGCCTGCCCCATGGATGGGGTGCAGTACAGGAGTGAATCTGTCAAATACCTCTGCCTTCTTTTATAACAGCTACACTCTCACGGTGGTATAGCTACCACACAAAACCTGTTCTGGGAAAGCTAGGTCTTGTACTGGGAGGGAGACAGGAAGTCTTTTGTTTTGGGGGTTCTTATCCGATGTATACAATTAGGGGTTTGTTTGGCTAAGTTATTACAAGTGTTCTGGAAGGGGGGGGGGGGGGGTCAAGTTACCAACCTTTGACCAAGTGACCATACATCATTAACTCTCTCATAGCTGTGGAATGTCATGTTTTGGCCAAATTGATAGCTTCTACTCAGAATATGTGTGAGTCATACTTCTTTGAAGTACAAAGTTTGTTAACATATAAACTTCTTACTTTCCTCCTGAGGAGATATTGATTAGAAATAGATATTATGTTTCACTATAAAACAGTTCAATTCTGACCTGTTACACTATCTTGAGCGATTCTAAATGCCTTCTGGAAGGTGCTGCCTACTAGGATGTCACTTTCTCATTTCTCTCTTAGTCTTCCTGTTTGTTCCAACCAGGGGCGGCGATTCCGAGGGGGACGGGGGGGGGGGGGGCACGCCCCCTCCCTGAAAATTGGAAAAAGGGCAAATGAAATGTATAGTAAATACTGCACGAGCCGCTTGCTGGAAGTTCACAGTGCGCATCATAATGAAGAAGTACACTGCATTTACATTTCGCACAACAGGGTCAAGAGAGTTATTTGTTTTTATAAAATAGCGACAAATGAAAATGAAAACAAACGAAAGTCTGAATATAACGTTAGAGCCTACGAGAGTTAGATTAGAGTTATGTTGGTTCTAGAAAATGAAAAGATAAGACCTTGCAGGCTTGCTACTGTATACCGAAAAGTCCACGGGATTCCACTAGCCTTGAGTACAAATAAAATCCATACTTGAATCAGACAGCTGAAATTCCTGGCTTCATTATAAAATCCATTTTCATTTTCATTTCCAAATATGGATGCAACGCTTTCAAATTTATGGAAAAATTTGTTTTCTAATCTCCCGCTCTAGCTATCGCGTACGCTGCAGTGGAGCGTGCAATGACACTTTTGACTGCGCTTTTTAGCACGATCTGCATATTTAAACAAAAAAAGTGCATGTCATGTGACGCGTTTTGACCAATCACGATGCTTAAAATACTAAAGCTATTTTATAATAAAAAGTTATGACCGGTCATTAGTAAAATCATTTTATAAAACATTTTTTATAAAACAAGAAAACATCATCTTATAAAACAAATAATACACGTCAAAATTACACACACTCGGTATCTTCAAAACAGTCCAAACACCCTCGGCTATCGCCTCGGGCGTGTTCGATTGTTCCAAAGGTACCTTGTGTGGGTAATTCTTACTATTGCCCTCACTGATGTGTATTATTTGTATCATTAATAATAGACTGACAGAAATGATCAACTGAAATTTTGTTTCATTATTATGTTGATACATTTGAAAATCAAAGTTTTAAAGAGACTCTTTAATACTCAGTATTAATTTTTGTTCTCTGAAAACTAAGCAAGGCTTGTTCTTGTTTTTAGTCAGTAACTGTGCTGTATGGAAATACTGTATGTTGATGTCATTATGATACATTTTAGTTAAATGCAGCGTGAAAAAACAAATATGTGGTTATTCTGTTTGTTTAACAAAATTAGTGATAAAAAGCTTCGTTATAATCATGTTCAGTTTTATTAGCTACGACAAAGAAAAGGTTTTGCCTCGATGTCTTGTACGAACAAAAATTGGATTTTTGAGAAATGAAAATTCAATGAATAGAAGAAAAAAAAAGAAGACAAAAATATCCCCTTTTCAGGTTTCAAATTTGTTTTTAAGCGTGATCTTTGTGGCTGAATTCAAATATGGATGTTTCCGCAAGTGAAACTTGAACGTTTTCACGACGATGAGGCTTAATACAAAATGAAGTTATAGCAACTTAATATAATTATATCACGCACCTCTCTGCCCATAAATTATTGAAAAAGAATGTAAATTACCAATACATGATAATAACTTGCGTGAATATTAATAAACACAGATTCATGTATCACTCTTCGTTCATTTATATCCTTTAATTGCCCTGAATTGGCTTTTGTTTCCATTAGTACGAGGTATGTTATGTGACGGAAAAACAGACGGAAGAAGGAGAAGAAAACGAAGGAGAAGGAGAAGGAGAAGGAGAAGAAGAAGAAGAAGAAGAAGAAGAATAAAGAAGAAAGAAGAAAGAAGAAAGAAGAAGAAATAGAATTCGAAGATAAAGATAGGGGAAAGAAGAAACGGAAACCAAATGGAGAAGAAGAAGAGGATATTCTTAATTAGGGGAGGAAGATAAAAAAGAAAACGTATTGAGGAAGTGATACAACATCGCTCCCGCCAAAATTTGCTGAGTATTTAGTAAATACTTTCTCTCTTTACGTTTTGACAGTCTAAACATTGGGCGAATAGGCGTAGGTATAAAACAAACAATATTTCAAAACCAGTTACAAAAATAATTTTGTTAATTTTTTAGGAAATGCATACAACAGATAGCTATATTTGTTGATACCTGAATTTATTATCAATTTTTTTTACGTGCCTTGATTGATAAAATTATGAATAACAATATTTTAAAAAAATGTTTCATAGCAATTTTATGTAAAATCTAAGATGTCTAAAAGGTCTGTAATCGATTGCTAATTTGTTACTGATAAGGGAAAAAAAAAAAGATGGTGGTTATTTAGGTGCTAAAATATGGGTCGGTCGGTAGTTTTTTTTTTTTAATTTAAAGCTTTTTTTTTCCATCTTGGGGGTGAAATTTCTCAGTTTTGAATGCTTAAAAAAATAAAAAATCTCTAAAAAACGATTTTTTAATTTTTTTTTTTTTTTTAAAGCCGACCGTAGAGTTCAAGATTTTTGGGTCGGTCGCAGATTGAGTTTTTAATATTTTTAACGAAAAACACTCACAGTGGGACTTCTACATGTATGCTAAAAGATCATGTTATCAATAACAAGTTACAATAATTGTTGCAAGCTATATAAATCGTGGCAATTGATCGGCCGAGAGCTAGCCAAATAGTTTTATCACTTGTTACTAATAACGACTTTAATGCCGATATTTTTTGCCCAATATTAAAAAAAACATTTCTTCTTCAAGGTATGCCCGGAAGCACAAAATAATTGGTGCCATTTTCAATATATTCCCCGCAAACCCTGAGTTTCTGTATAATCTAACATAATGTAATCGATTAATAACAAGAGCTTACGCCCCCCATCCCTCTCTCTCTCTCTCTCTCTCTCTCTCTCTCTCCTTTTCAAGCCCCAGAAGGCACTTTGAGATTTCCATTTCCCCGAGTTTGGGCTACGGTTTTCAGAGGCACATGTATATCTGTGAGGGAGTTTACAGATACAATCTGCGCATGGGCAGATAAAGGTCATTTGTACCAAAATGGTACAACCCACAGAGATGGACACTGGATATGCGCTCATGAAAGTTATGTAACATTATTTGCACCAACGGTACATTCTATGATACGCAGGTGGAAGTATTCTTTTCAAAAGGGCAAACAAAAGGTATTCATGAAGCACATCTAGGACTTTGGCAGTTATTATTCTAAGATGCTCAAAGTTGAACTTGTCCATGTGTAAAAGATCTGTGGATATTTGGGGTCATTTGTACCATGTGCTATCTGTAAACTCCCTTATACATTAGCACCTAGGATAATTTTCACTTGACATTTTTACAAATATTTTTAAATGCCCCCTTATAAGTTTTATTTTATTTTGTCCCCTCCCCCCAAAAAACAAAACAACAACAACACAAAAACAAACTTAGATCTGAAGAAAAAGAAACGGAAAGAACGATTAAGATAAAGAGAAACACAGAAAAATACTGGGAAAGCAAGAGCAAAGCAAGAAAGTCATATTTATAACTCGAATCAGACTGAACAAATGAAGGCCCACATTTGTTTGTTTTACTTTAAAAATGTTTTAATATAATGGAATTACATGTGCCTTTACGTATGAGCATGTAAACAATAACTGTTTGCATTTAATAAAGTAATATGGTGTTCCAACACTTTCTCCCTGACACCAATTCTATATTTCTTTATTTATTTTCACTGATTTTGTATTTTTATTTACAATAAGAAAAGAGATAATGGGGAGTTTAACACAACAACAAAACATAGGAAAGAATGCATTAGACAAACCAAACAAAAATATTTGTTTCTACGTATTCAAAACAACCCCCTACTGAAATCATGGCACCTGATGGGCCGAGAGCAAATTTGTTAGTAATTGAGCATTTGTTATTGATAACAAGTGCTATGATACAGGGGACAGATCCCCTTGTAATGTCTATGCCTTTCACGGTTATCAATGTAATTCAATTCAATCCACAGGGATGCCAATTAGAATTGATCAGAGGCCTGAAAATCACCTAGAATGAGCTATTTTGTACACAAAAAAGCCTAAACTATGGTCTGAAAATAAATTGCCAGGGCCTGAATTCAGGCTATGGCCTGAAAACTGGCATCCCTTAATTCAGTCTTCAATAAAATAGTAGCTTTCAATAATGACAATCATTAAAAAATAAATTACTACCCCTTGATCAACACTTACAAATGGAAACATTTCTAGACAATCGCCATTGGTCGAATGGTATAACATGGAGTGCGTAACCTATAACACAATCACAAAGATTTTCAGGAAACCAACTCCTAGGCAGTATGGAATACAGTTAGCGACTAAACTATTCATACCCTTTAATACCAAATTTTGTCATTTTTAAAGTATGTGACGAATTTATTTGTCCGGATTTATGTTTTCTCAGAGTGTGACACATTGAAGCTTTCAAATTTATCTGAAAGTATTCGAAAAAGGCCCTTATTCAACCAGCCCATCTTCATTTTTGAGTTAAGAAAAAAACACAAGAAGTATCAAATTTACAATTGGTATGAATAATTTAGTTACAATAACTGTTATAAGCTTCTGAAATTGTGTGATAACAAGTTACGATAACTGTTATAAGCTACTGAAATCGTGTGGTAACAAGTTACAATAACTGTTATAAGCCACTGTATTGTTCCTAACTTTCGAACAGGTGACACTCAAGATGACTAACATTACATCAGGTTGATTATTTAAATGTTTGAGCGATCCATGTTTTCTATCAGTACAGACATTAAAGGGGCACGTTCCCGCCAGTGCAATTATAGGAACATGCCATCTGCGTAAGAGCCGTATTCTGTTGGTGTCAATAGGCAGCTATAGCACCGTCCGCCAGCGCGTACGTATTTTTAATGCCCTCTGGAATACAGGGTACATGCCCCTTTAATCTGGGGAATACAATTTCTACAAAAAAGAGAATTTTACAATGTTACAATCATTCCTGTACGTGTTACCAATTAGTAATGTCTTTAATATATCTGCAACTCTCCTACTTTGTTCAAAGGAATAAATAATTCAAATTTTCAAAAATTCAAATTGCAAAAATATAACAATAACATAAATTAAAACATAAAGCAGTTAAGATAAAGGCATATGAACAGATAAAGAGTTCCATTCAGATATTCAGAAAGACTTGTCCACGAGTTACAATGCACAAGAAAGAAAAAATGAAGAGAGAGAGAAGAACAAAACATTTCGTATTCAAATATCTATGAGGATAAGGATGTTCACTTGAATTTTCACACAGAAGTTTTTGCCGTCGTATCAGGTATTTTGGAAATGTCGCTGTTTCGATAACACACAGAAACATGAAATACATATTATGTACACACCCCATGCCATATTAGGGCAATGATGCTTCGGATTAAGATCGTGTAAATTATTTGAAGAAAAATGAAATAAAAATGAACAAGAAGCTGTCTCCCCCTCCCCCTACCCATCTTTATACAATGAATATAACACACAATTGCAACTACTTTTGACAAATCTAAACCTGCTTTAGCAACCACCTGTAGGGAAAGACCACTTGTCTACTAAGACCTCATATCATGTTCCCCTCGAATATGGTTTCTCATTGAAACCTGTACCTAAAGACCACCTGCCTATAAAGACCACCTGCCTATAAAGACCACTTTTTGATGTTTCCCTTGATTCCTTGAATATGGTTTCTCATTGAAACCTGTCTATAAAGAAACACTCTTAGTCTTAATGTTTCCCTAGAGCGGTCTTTATATACAGGTTTTACAGTACACTGGGGAATTGCATTAGCCCTTGTGTTGATTGTTCAAAAGTAGTTGCAAACTTTTTATACAGGTCAATGACCTTCATCATTATATAGGTCACTGACCTTCATCTTAACAGGTCAATGACCTTCATCTTAACACAGGTCAATGACCTTTACCTTTATACAGGTCACTGACCTTCACCTTTATAAGGTCAGTGACCTTCATCTTTAAACAGGTCAATGAACTTCATTTTATACAGGTCAATGACCTACATCTTTATACAGATCAGTGACCTCTATTCTCATTTCTATCAAACAGTAAAATGAGATACGCCCTTATGGCAGTAGTAATACGTTTACAAACACAGTTCTATCAATAAACCTACATCTTACTAAAAAAGAGCATACACCCTCCTTGCATTGAAGTGTCACTAGAGCGCTTTCGCAAAAACGACCGGAGAATTACGGCAATACAGCTCTTCCGTCGTGTTTAGGGAACGAGCGCTATCATGGCTATGTACGTACGGTCATGAAAATCAACAAGACAGAGAAAATTCTAGTTCGCGCATGCGCAGATTGTTTTTTTGCGTCACGTTACCGTCGTCTTTGCGAGGGCGCCCTACTGTGAGTGTGTGTCAGGCCGCGTAGACAGACACATACAAGAGATGATCAATAAAATGGGATTGATACAAATAGAAAATTCTTCAGAACAGTTCATGATTCAACGTCAATGTAATTAGCAAAATATCAAAATCAACCTAGATTGAATGAAAATTCGACAATAAAACTTCACAAACAATTTCTCTTTTTGTTCTGAACACGCATAATCAACCCTCTGAATCAGGCATCCATTTTGGACTAGCAAGAGGCTACAATAGCTTAGAAGAAATGAAATTGATAACTGTTGAATGTTCTGTCTAATTCACTGTACAATATTCATACATCCTGATTGCCCTTTATGGAGCTTGAATTGTTAAAGGTAATACAAAGTTTTGGGATTTTTGAAAATTGGGTGGACAGTGATTCTTTACAATTTTGATATATCTGGATGCCCCTGTGGATGTATTATAAGCACTAGAAAATTTAGCCCCTAAAACGCTTCTGCTTTCGAGAAGAATTAAATATAAAAATTTACCGGTGCTCCCGGTAAATTTTGAGAAATTTCAAATAGCGCCTACAGCCGTACAATGATAGCTGCGACCATGAAAATCTCAGAATATGTAGTTGTGATATATATTATTTCCAAACCCAAATAGCTAATAGGTCAATTTTAGTCAAGAAATATTGTTTTATAGCTTATTTAATATCTTGACCTTGAGAGGGAGCTATACAACAGAAAGAGTGTATTATTTAAAATTTCATAACTTCGGACTTGATTTCTACCGCGACGATTACTGAACATTGTAGGATCGCACATGTTTCCAATATGTTCGTTTGAACCAAATTCATGACCCCATACCAAAACTTTGTATTACCTTTAAGCAAGTTGATTATTTGTCATTTAAAGAAAACAAAACAAATATTGGAACATGGTCGTAACTATTTTCGATAAAAAATGAAAAAAATATCTGAGACTACACACAGTTCATGTATATGTAGATACCACCACTTGTGACCAGTTGGGATGCAGAAGGGTGCCAAATCTCTATTAAACAAAGTAACCTAGCACCCTTCTGCAACTAAAAAAAAAGCGATATAATACAATAAACAAACAAAAGATATAATAGAAATTATCTGCCTGTTCGTCATTTGATCCTTTGTACTCGAGGCAAACTTATCAATCAATCAACAAATTTCTTTCCTAATGCATTCACATGATCTGTGTCCCGTCTTATAGAGTGGTGAAGTGTGACGTCATCAAAAATCTAATTTTAGAATTTCTCAATTTTTTCTTTATTTTCCGAAAGAGCATCAAAAATAATGTCCAAATGTTGAAAGCCAATTGAATATGTTAAGTATTGGTTGAGATATGACCATCTGAATAAATATATGTCCTATGGAAACTCAGTGTTATATGCTCTGGCTCCTAGTGGTTAGGAGCCAGAGCATATAACACTGAGCTTCTATGGGGAGTATATTTAATCAGATGGTCATATCTCAGCCAATACTTAACATATTCAATTGATTTTTGACATTTGGACATTATTTTTGATGCTCTTTCGGAAAATGGAGAAAAAATTGAGAAATTCTAAAAATAGATTTTTATGACTTCACAGCTTCGGTACTCTATAAACTGTTGCAATTAATCAAAAGATTACAGCAAAAACATCACTAAAATGAGATGCTGTCCTGCCATGGGGTTTTAAAAAAAATTGTCACATCTTCCGGCATCCGTCTGCCTAATGGTTGTTGTTAAAAAGACACAAGTGAAACAACAAACATTAACTACAAAGAAAGACGACCCCTGACCTTTCTCAATAAAATCTCCACTACCAACCAACCAACAGTACATACATGTCTACTTCAAAGATACTTGACCTATGACCTTTATATGACCTTTTAGCACTGGGGTCATGGTGCTAAAACTGTTTTAAAACCAACCTATGGTGTTGCTTCGGGAATGATGAGGCTTGATTACAAAATAGTGATAATGTCCATATTGGGTAGTGATGTGGTCCGGGGGGGGGGGGGGGGGGGGGGGGGGGGGGCGTTTCACAAAACTTGTCATCAGTGACAAATGACAATTTGTGTTATAAGCTACTGAAATCCTTGCTTCTGATTGGTTATCAGCAGATTTGTCACTGATTTTTGTTATTTGTCCTTGAAAAAAGGCTTGTGAAACCCCCTGGTGTTTCTGGCAGCTTAAGTCACCAGCCTTAGAGTTCCTAAGGCTTGGTGGTTATCTTAAATAACTTGACACTTGACACTAACACTCAATTTGACCAAGATGCCTTAGTATCAAATATCTAAAGTGTCTACAGGTATCAATTTTAGTAGAAGTTGATGACCTCAACTCAGAGCATGTTAAACTTGGCAAAGAAGCAATGATAAATTGCCTTAGGTCAACACTGTTGGACTCCAGCATTTGCAGTCAATATCAAAATCCAGACTTGTAAATAATTGCTACCTGTTCTGCTAATTTTTTCTTTCTTATATACACTGTTGCTATGGTTTCCCAGAAATGCTTCTCATGCATCGATTCCATGTGTGTCATTTCATGTCTGGTGGCAGCAAACTCCTGGAGAAAGGCTTTAAAACAGTAGTGGTCCCAATATACATCCCTGTGGAACTCTCTCAACACATAACATGATTGTATACACTCTATACATATATCTTAAGAATAAGTTCATCTTGTGACAAACAATTTGACAGTAAAAGACATGAGAGTAAAAACATGCTATATTTGATCAATCTTAGAATAAGATGCATCCCCGTTTCTTGCGCTTCCCTTTCTTGTTCGATGCATTCTTTCGATCTTTCTGTAGAGAGGAAGACAAGGAGGAGAGAAAGGGTGGCAAAAGAGAGATAGATAATATTAATAATAATACTCAGTTTTTATATAGCGCTTATTAGAATCACTAAGCGCTTCCAAACTTGGAGAATTTTACCCGGCTTTAGCTGTGCTGCCATTACGACACTCAAGCATTTCAAAGAATCATTTCCTGCCAGGTACCCATTTACATCACCTAGGTTGAGTGTGGCAAATGTAGATTAAAAGTTACAAAGATATTAATGAATATTGAATCAGGGACATGGGAAATAGGGAGATAAAATGAGAGAAAATGTAGAAGAACTGCATAAGAATGAACATCTGTCCAATGTCTTACGAATTACATGTAAAGTAGAGGTGTCGTGGACGAGTGGATATGTCAACGGACTGTGGATCACAAGGTCCGTGGTTCAAGTCCCTCCGCGGCACTAATGTCCTTTTGCATTGATCTACATTTGCCACTCTCCACCCAGGTGTTAAATGGGTACCCGGTAGGATGCGAAAGCTAACGTGCTTAGATTAGCAAGTGTGCGCTTGTAAAAATGACGCCTGGCTGGAATGCTCCCCAGGGAGTGGAGAATGTGCATACATTGTGTGCGGGTAAGCCTGAATCCGATGACCGGGGTAATAATATATATATCTGTAAAGCGCTTTGGGAGGGCCTTCGGTCTTGAAAAGCGCTATGTTATTTTTATTATTATTATTATATGTACTTTAAAAAAAAATCTATATGTAGAGAAATAGCAAAAAGCACATATTGATTATGGAGTATAATTCTCTGTATTGCATATAACTCTCTGAATCATTACACGGGTCTTTCAGCTCTCTCCTGGGTATGGAGTGGCAAATGAAGATTAATGCCTTGCCAAAGGACATTAGTTAGACATAGGGCGCGTTCATGCTTGATTTTGAAGGCAGCATGAGCGATTTGTAACGCTCATCGTAAACGCTCATCGTAATCGCAGTTCCACGGTGCATTGTTCATGCTCACTTCTCCAGGCAATTCTCCTTGGGTGGCCTTCAGCTGGATTCGCAAACCTGTGTGCGCATGCTACGTAGATCCACTAGAGGTCAGTGCGTTGACCCCATTTAAACGCGTTTACAAATTGTAAACGCATCTTTTTGTGAGTTTACGATCGGCGATCGTGATCGCCGTTCTTCGGTGATTCTACAAAAGTGAGCATGAACGCAATCGTGTTTTAAACTAAACGCGTAACAGATGCCTGATTCTGGCCGTCAAAATCAAGCATGAACGCGCCCATAGACATATTTCATATCATATCTTCATAAATTTGCTCATTAAAGGGGGAAATGTGAAGAATTCTAGAATAGTTCATGAAAATTTGTGCCAAAAAAAAAATCTGCAAAGCAATCATAGAAAACGGCAATGTGAGAGACACCTTGGCAAATAAACCAGGGCCATGTTCCATAAAACTTGTTATCAATAACAAATACTAAATATCTATGACAAATTTGCTCTCAGCCAATCAAATGCCACTATTTCAGTAGCATCGAACAGTCATTGCCACTTGTTATTGATAACAAGTTTTATGAAACACGGCCCAGAAGTTGGTGTCCCATTACCTTTCTCCCTGATATGTCGGTATTGAGAGCTAATATTTATATTATATTGGATGGCTTTGAGTGTGATAAAATTATATATTGCTTGAGCTATGACAATATTGAACAAGTCGGAGACGAGTCCAATATATTCTTTTATCACACAAAAACAAAGCCTTTTAATATTATTATCATTTTATATATCAGGCTGACTAGCGAAATAACAAAATTTGACTTACCCTGGTAAATATGGCTTTTTGTGTGTGTGATATCAATAGCGATAATCAAAGTTCCCGGATGACTGAGCAATACGAAAACAACATTGGTCAGTCATCCGGGTACTGCGCTAAAGATATTGAACACACTGATTTATTGTACCACTTGGAAGCCTTAAGAATATTGGCTATATTACGATAGAAACACTTTACTTACATCCTTCCTGATCTCCCTTACGAGTGTGTAGAAGGCATCATCCTTTTGAAAAGAAAAAAAAAAGAGAAAACACAGAAAAAAGTTATTTCATGAAATTCATGGAATGAAGGGAATCATCAATGAACAAAATTAACATTTCAGTTGCTTTCTTTGCCTTGCACATCTTCTGGCATGTCGCTCATTTGCCACACGTTCAATTTTGCACAAAACAATACAATTCACACAATGGCTTTGCAAAATTACCAATTTCTGGTCTCTCTCTCTCTCTCCCCCTCCTCCTTCTTCTTCTTCTCTCAACAAATAAATAGGGTTCTATATATATATATATATCCTAATATACTTACTGTCCCTTGATCTGGGATTAGTTTTAATTTCTTCCCTGTTCCCCTCTCTCTATCTCTCTCTGTCTCTCTCACCTTCTCTTTCTTTCTCTTTCTTTGTGTCAGTTTAAGGTGTTCCATATCCCTTTTCTCTCTTTCCCTCGCTCTCTCTCTCTCTTTCCCTTCCTTCCTTCCTCCCTTCCTTCATTTATTCCTCCCTCTCCCTCTCTCTCCCCATCTCTCTCTACAATAATACTTACTACTCCTTGTCTTGTCTTAGCTGATGTTTCAATGTAAGGTATTCCATAACTCTTAGCTAGTGACAGTCCTTGTCTCGTTTGCACAGCCCAGTTCGGCAAGTCAATTTTGTTTCCAACCACTGCAGAAAAAAATTCCCAAACCCAAAGAGAAACAAAGTTACAACACATAGAAAAGGATATCATGTGAAAAGATAAACGGATACAGAAGTAATGGTGTTTGGTTTTTTCTGTGTTGAGTGTGGCAAATGTTGACTCGACCTAGGTGCAGTAAATTCAATAGAATTTCTGACTAATACATTATCTGAGTAATTCAACGAAATAATTATCAAAAGTGCTACAGGGTATAAATAAATATACCTAAATTTGTGTTCACACCAGTTTTAATGCTGAACAATGAGCCAGTTCACGGTTGCAGTCTGAGCATGAGTAGATAAAGGTCATTGCAGAACAAATTGTGAAATACACAGAGACAAAATACTGGATATGTGCTCATGAAAGTAATGTAATCATTACTTGTATGCACAAGCAGTGCACTCTATGATACATAGGTGGAAGTATTCTTTGAAAAGGGTAAACAAAGGCTATATACATGTATATAGCACCTCCATCGCTGTAGGAGTGATTATTTCAAAATATACCAAATGGGATGTGCTAACCGTGAACTGGGCCCCATTTCACGAAACTTGTCATCTGTGACAAATGACAGTTTTTGTTATAAGCTACTGAAATCCTTGCTTCTGATTGGTTATCAGCAGATTTGTCACTGATTTTTGTCATTTGTCATTAAAAAAAGGCTTTGTGAAATGGGTCCCTGGTCTATTACATTATCCCGGAGTAATACTTACAGACCATAGGAACTTCTTCTGCGTCTTTCACTCTTTTGATCTGCTCCCTGTACAGGTTGACATCCTCAAATGATTTCTCGTTATTGATGGCAAAGACACACAGGAAACCTTCTCCCGTTCTCATGTACTGGTCTCTCATGGCACTAGAAAGAAGAAAAAGAAATAAAATGTTATTTCATTGACTGCCAAATCCTCTCATTCCAATAAGGAGCCACCAAGTTCCCATACGCAAAGTGTTAAGATGAAGATATTGTTGTAATTTTGTTTTACTGTTTAAAGGCATCATTTAACAATGTTAAATCTGAGATGCATTGCCCTACGTGTTATCAGTGTCTGTGATATGGTGTAATATTGAAGCCCTAAAAAATTGCTCTTCAAAATGTATTGGTCTCTCATGGCACTGGTAAAAAGAAAAAGAGTGAAAATGGACAATAAATAAAATGTTACTTCATTGACTGCCTAAATCATTTTCCATATAATCTTCAATACAGGAGCCCCCAAGTTTCCATACGCAAAGTGTTAAGATGAAAATATTGCTGTGATTTTGTTTTACTGCTTAAAGATAAAGTTTAGTTCGGGTCATGCGATTGCATTGTGAAAGAAACGTTGTGGAATTAATCAGAAAAGGTTGATCATCGAGCATATAAAGTATTTGTGTGTGTTGTAAGGTTCTGGAATCATCAACATGATAAAAAATTTGGCCCAGTCTTGGTAGAGTAAAAAGCACTGTACACAGAAATGTGTATATGGGACTACACAAACATGTGGCTTACAAACCTGTCCCGATTTGTATGGTGTTACATGCCATATTTAGAATATTAAGGCATTTGAAGAGCCAATGCTATTCAGGGAACATTTTTAATCTGATGTTCTTCCACACTTTATAATACAATGATAACGAGGAAGAGTAATAGTTTAATCTTACATGTAACCTAACTGTAATTTAAATCACAAATAAATATATAACCCCAACCCTAAATAAATATAGAATCTGTACTATTATTAGATACATTATACGCTGGAACCTCAGTATAAAGAGCTGTGATATAACGAGGTATCTGTTATAACAAGGTGATTTTGCTAGTAAGAGAGCTGCCGGGAGATGACTTACACGTAACCAATTAAAATTGTATTTAGTCCATTACGCACAGTAATTACATTGTAGAGGGCAGACCACTTCTAAGAACCTTCTTTGCGCAGATTCATAATGGCATGCGTTATCTTGCTCATTAATATTCATATGAAAAGACAAGTTGGTAAATAATGTATCGCTATGGGACTGTACAAACTCTTTGTGTGCTCTAGACGAAATAGGGTTTTGGATCTATTAGTGTTGTTGTGTATAGTGAAATGCATGAAGGCAAGGAAAGAGTTAAAGCCCCACTGCACATCTTATAGCTACTTGCCCCTCTATAAAGCAAACATTGCTAATCGGTGCCTGTTGGTCCCCCATGATCCCCTTTTTTGATGTTAATTGAGAGCTGATTTGATGAGATAACCACTTGTCAGTGACCTTGCAATCCCCCCTGGCAAAACTAGTACAGACAGGCTTTAATAGCTTGCTACTGGTACAGTACATGTAGAGGCTTGTTCAGACATGGCGCATTAAAAACGCATTTAAAAATAAAAACGTGTAAATGAATGGCAACTGTCTGAATGCTCATTGAGCTCAGTGTTATAAGATACATTAATGTGAAAGGTCCCACAATTTACGTCATCATAAAAACCTGTCGGGTTTTGCGACGTCACGTCTGGACGAGCCTTAATTAACCATTAACAAAATCATCAATCACTTGTGTACTGGTGGGCGTATAAGCTTGTACATGTACCTACATCAGTATGTATACATGTACATCACTACTACCATCAGTGACATCTTCATCATCATAATCACCATTGGCATCATCAACATTATACTATCATCATAATCGTCCTCACAATCATTAGCTTCACTATCATCATCATCACCACCACCACAATCATAAGCTTCACTAACACCATCATTATTACCAACACCATCTCACCATTGTCATCATTGTCATCATCATCTTTATCATCATCATTATCACCATTATCATCAACCATCATGAAAGAGGGCGCTGCACAGTAGCGACCAGTTTGCTTGTCATCTTGTCTCCCGTTTTGATGTCTATTTCTCGAGTTTTGTGTTATTTGTGGAATATATGTGAATATCACAATGCGTGTGGAAACTACGTTCAACATGCGGATATACTTTCTGATACTATTTTTGTCATTGTTACCCGGAAAAACTCATGTTTTTGCGTCACCTGAACTGCCTACCAATATTCAATATTCCCGCCAATTCCTATACGATATCGCCGCGGCACCGGCGTCCAAGGTCGTACCGACCAATCTGCCCGATTGGATACCGACTCGGGAAAATGTGGAGGTGCCCAGTCTAAGAAGAAGGGGGAAACGCGGAGGAGTTAGGAACAGGCTGAGAAAAAGAGGATTTAGACCCTCTTTACCGGTAATAACTCTCAGTAATGTCCGATCATTGCACAACAAAGTCGACGAAATCAGAGCCCTAAAAAGGTACTGTAACTATTTTCGGAATTCCGGTATGATTTGCTTGACCGAAACTTGGCTTAACCCAGACATTACCAATGAAAACATTGCTATAGATGGATTCGATATAGCGCGATTAGATCGCTCATATGAAAACACTAGTAAGAGACGAGGGGGAGGAATATGTGTTTATGTCAACAAACGCTGGTGTACAAATTATACTGTCAAACATTCGATTTGTAACAAAGATGTGGAACTGCTATGTGTGTCATTTCGTCCATTCTATCTACCCCGCGAGTTTAACCAAGTGCACCTATTTCTAGTTTATGTTGCCCCTCAAGCCACTCAACACATACAAGACATAGTTGGGGAAATGGAAGCCCTGTCCCCAGATTCACCCAAAATTATCCTTGGAGACTTCAATCATTGCCGATTAGAGAATTCTCTGCCTAATTACTGCCAAGCTATAGATAAGCCGACAAGAGGGGAGAACATTTTGGACAGATGCTATTGTTCAATCCAAAATGCCTACAAATGCATCGTTCGTCCACCGATAGGCCTGTCTGATCACAATGTAGTGCATTTACTACCTAAATATCGACAAAAACTAAAAACTCAGAAACCCGCCAAAAAAATCGTGCAAGTGTGGAACAATGAAGCTATTGAAAAGCTACAAACGTGTTTTCAAATAAGTGATTGGGATGTTTTCTTCGAGGCCTCAGACAATTTAAATGGGATAGCGGACACGATTAATGATTACGTGGTATTTTGCCAAAATCTTCATGTTCAGAGTAAGACTGTACGCATTTATCCGAATAATAAACCCTGGATTACGACACAACTGAAAGCCATAGTGAAAGCCAAGAGGGAAGCATTTGTTGCTGGGGACCAAGCATTGTTAAAAAGTCTTCACGCGGACATGAGACAAGAGATAGATAACGCTAAGCAAACATATAAAGAGAAGCTGCAAAGCCATTTTCAAGCTCACAAACCAAGGGAGGCGTGGCAGTGTTTACAATCTATGACTGATTATAAACAACGGAAAGACCACGCTTTTGAAAACATCGATGACCCTCAAAAGTTTGCTGATGAACTCAACACGTTTTACTGCCGATTCGATACCAACGAATTCATCGATGTCATCGAAGCGCAGAGAGATGAGTTAATCCGTTCCCAGGATGAATCTCTGAGGGTCGAGGAGAATGATGTTTCTCTTTACTTCAGCCGAGTTAATCCGAGGAAAGCTATGGGTCCGGACAATATCAGCGGAAAGCTTCTGCGAAATTGTGCAAAGGAACTTGCAACCCCCTTTCGTTTGCTATTTCAAACTTCGCTCGACAGGAAAGTTGTTCCTGTTTGCTGGAAGACATCCACCATCATTCCAGTGGCTAAGAAGTCCCGTCCATCTGAGCTTAATGATTACCGGCCTGTGGCACTTACACCAATCGCAATGAAGTGCTTTGAGCGTATCATATTAAAGAGTCTTCTTCAGCCAATCAGAGAGCTGATTGATCCTCATCAGTATGCATACCAACAAAACAAATCTGTTCAAGACGCTACCCTTTATCTAACACATCTGCTATACAAGCACACAGAAGAGACGAAATCGTACGTACGAGCATTGTTCGTGGACTTCTCTTCTGCGTTCAATACCATCCGCCCTCATGTGCTTGTTGAGAAGTTGAAGCGTCTTGAAGTAAGGCCATCGCTCATACTTTGGATCGTGGACTTCTTGCAGAACCGAACGCAGAAAGTACGGGTGCAGAACACAATGAGTGAGTCCATTGTTACCAACATCGGGTCTCCTCAAGGGTGCGTGCTCTCGGCCATCCTGTTCGTGTTGTATACCAACGACTGCCGCTCATCTTCGGAAAATGTCTCAGTCTTGAAATACGCGGACGATACTGTTATTGTTGGGAACATTAGAGGAAGTGAGACTGAATACGAAGATTATCTAAACTGGTTTACTGAGTGGTGCAATGAAAACTTTCTGGACTTCAATACTACGAAAACAAAAGAGATGATAATTGACTTTAGGAAAGTAAGACCCGTAGATCCAAGTAGCTGCCCAATGAAAATAAACGGAAAAGAAATAGAGATAGTGAAATCATACAAATACCTTGGCACTGTAATTAATGACAAGCTGAAATGGGATGACAACTGTAGGGAGCTGTACAAGAAAGGGCAGCAACGGTTATATTTCCTTCGTAAACTCAATTCCTTTCACGTAGACCGCACTATAATGTACCTGTTCTACAAGTCTGTGATAGAGAGCATAATAGTAAACGACTGCGTTGTGTGGTTCACAGCATGTCGAAAAGTAGACTTTTCTATGCTAAAAAGAATTGTTAAACAAGCGGAAAAAATTGTAGGGAAGAATCTAGACTTCGAAGATATATGTAGAAATAGAGTACTCGACAAGGCGAAATCAATCTACCATAACAGCCGTCACCCCTTAAATAATAATTATGTAGCCCTGAGGTCAGGAAACAGGTTAAGATCTCTAAGGTCCAGAACGAGCAGGTTTCTAAATTCATTTGTGCCAAGCTCAATCAGGCTGATGAACGAGGAGGGTTTAATCTAAGTCTGAATAATAAACTGAATTTAATCTGAATTGTGAATTTAATTTGAACTGTGAACCTAACTTAATCTGAATTATGACTGAATGTAATCACCTATTTTTGAATTATAACTTGCATTTAATCTGAATTGTAAACTAATTTAATTTGAATTATGAATTCTAGGTGATCGGAACTTGAGTTGAATTATATTATGAAATATGAACTGAACTGGTTTGAAGAATAAATTGTATTGCATTTGAATTGTGAATTTAATTTAACCCAAAATATGAATATAATTTAATTACTTAGTTTGAATTATATATTGAATTTGATTTGAATTGTTAATTTTATATTAATCTGAACTACGAATTGAATTGATGTGAATTATAGATTGTAGTAATCTGAATTATGAATTTATTTAACCTGAATTGTCAATTTAATTTAATCTGAATTATGAATTGTACGCGATCGGGATTTGAATTGAATTATTTCCTGAAATATGAATTGAATCTGTCTGAATCATGAACTGTATTGAATTTGAATTGTGAACTTAACTTAACCCGAATTATGAATTTAATTTTATTACTTAGTTTGAATTATAAACTGAATGTGATTTGATTTTGTTAATTATATTTTAATTTGAATTACGAACTGAATGTGATCGGGATTTGAAATGGATTTGATCTGAATTACGAATTGAATTGGTTTAAATTTTTAATTGTATTTAATCTGAATTACGAATGAATTTAATCCGAACTTGAACTGAATTTAACTACTTAATTTATGAATCGAATTTTAGTCTGCATGTTGAACTATCGCATTTGTTGTTACCTATGTCCAAGTTAAATGTTCTACTCTGTACCCATATGTATCTTATTGATGTTTATAATGTGTAACTTTGTACCGACATGCAAATGAAACAAATTTCCAATCATTGGACAATAAATTTGAATATGAATATGAATATGAATCATCACTGCCACCATCACCACGAATGGAACCATCAACACCAACATCACAACCATCAACACAGACATCATCGCCATTATCAGAATAACCACTACCATCATTACTACCAGTCCACCATCCCAATTAAAAGCATCAGCACCACCACTACCACCACAACCGCCACCATCACCACAAACATCATCAACATCATCACCATCATCAGAATAACCACTACCAGTACTAGTCCAAAACCACAATCAAAAGCATCACCACCATCACCACCACCACCACCACGACTGCCGCCTCCACCACCACCACCACCACCAGCAGCATCCCCATCAGTTCTACTCACTATGTCTCTTCTACCAGCAACACCACCACCACCACCACCACCACCACCTCTACCACTACCACCCCCACCCCCACCTCCACCACTACCACCCCCACCACCACCATCACCACCACCACCACCACTACCAACCTGTATTCTTCTTGACCTGCTGTATCCAGGATATCCAGTAAACACGTCTCTCCATCTATTACAACTTGTTTTCTATATGAATCCTCTGCAAAATTGAGATGAAAACAAAAGAAGCAAATATTTCAACGTAAATCTTTATACCACAGAAACCTGTAAATATTTCAACCAGAAATTAAAAAGAGTTCTTACTACTTTGTGTAGTCCCCTTGCATTACCTGGAAGATATTTACATGCTATCCAATTGGGGTGTCTGTATACATACTTTTCTACCAGTATATGGTAGCTCATATTAGACCAAAAATATATATACGGTATATAAAAAAAAAATAAAAAAAAAAATAGAAAGGGGCTGCATGAAGCTGATTGTATAACGGTTTTAATGAAGAAATTGCATGTATGACATTTCCAACTAAATTTATAGACTTGAATGAACCAATGGAGGGAATTTTTCGAAAGAGTACATTATAAAATGCACCTGACTGTACTAATATTAATTCTGAATTCAGGCAAATAAAACAACAACATTCAACTAAATACAATACATGTACCAGTACATGTATCTATTAGAGTCTGCATAAGTAACACAGTGTGTAAACATTTTACATGTCTACCCTTTTATATCACGCTAAGTATCATACCCTTGATAGCAATTGATATTTCTTTGAAAGATGGGTGGTGCTATGTAATATTGATAACGATTAAGTGGTTTAGAATATTTCACGCTTTTATTTCACGCTTAAGTATCATAACCTTGATAGCAATTGATATTTCTTTGAAAGATGAGTTGTGCTACATGTATGTAATATTGATACTGATCAAGTGGTTTAGAATATTTCACGCTTTTATTTCACGCTTAAGTATCAAACCCTTGATAGCAATTGCTATTTCTTTGAAAGATGGGTGGTGCTATGTAATATTGATAATGTATTAATGATCAAGTGGTTTAGAATAACAAATTTGTATTGCATGATAATAGCAGAATTAGAAACACTTACAATACAGGCTCTCACAGTTGCATATGAAAAATCTACAAACGGTATCTTACAGGGAATTATCCTGTTTTCTGTTTTGTTTTGATTTTGTTTTTTATTTCCTCCTCCTCATCAACTCCAACTACATATACATGTACTTTCCAGTATCCAGCAAAAGTAAGTTGGCCTGTGCCTCTGTCATTTATTTTTGGACGAATAGGGTTATGTTTGAAAAGAAAACTTAGCCTAAGAACAAATATGGTCAGACTAATGTAAATGGTGATGAGGTGGGTACATAACCAGACAGGCAATCGGCTTGTAAAATTCATGGGATTCCTGACTGACCTAAACGTATATATACTTTATATTTATGATTGCAGCATGAGCTAAATCCAGGATTTTTTAAAGAATCTGTGGCAAAGATACCCAATCCCTTAAATACAGTATACTTTGAAGGTTTTCTGCGAAAGACTAGCAACATGCTGTTCTCTCCTTTTTTTATTCAGTATAAGAAGACCTACAATAATCAAGGACAAACAGGAATTGATGTCCACGTATTCTTCAAAATGTTTGTGTCATTGTGTGATTTGTGTCATATGGCCTCATCAAGGTGGATGATCAATGAAATGAGAAACCCATGGTCATATTGTCTACACCTAGTGGAAGACATAGATGTAGATGTAACGCGACGGATTGAATCTTGCTGTTTTTATAAGATGTGCATACGTTATCAGGGATGCCAGTTAGAATTGATCAGAGACCCCGAAAATCACCTAGAATGAGCTAGTTTGTACACAAAAAAGCCTAAACTATTATCATTATAATCATTATTTTACAACCCTACAATTGATAGTAAGAAAAGATTTTTTAAGAATTGAAATATATCTAGAAATATATTTAGTCCCCATACACCCGTTGTGCCCTTCTGGTGTGAAAACAACAACATCATCTTCTCATCATCAACATAAAATTCAAAATGGCTTATTATTATTATTTATTCAGCAAAAACAACAAATCTTTGAATACAAAACAAGAGTACATTTGGAAAAGAGTCACATGGATGCCGGGAAAAGAAAAAGATTAACTAAAAAAACTGCTTCTTACCTATTGTAGGGTCATACTCGTCCACAAAACTGCAAGGTGAGAAGGGAGAAATATTTGAAAATATGATTAATTTCTTTTTTTGTAAACTGCAAGATAGTTTACATATACAGTCAAACCTGCTTCAGTGACCACCTGTCTACAAAGACCACCTGTCTTCAACATACGGTATCTGTTTAATTCAGCATATAATTAAATTGTTCTGTCATTTTTCGTACTTCCCTCAGAGAGGGCTTAAAGCCATTGGTCCCCTGGTTGCTTACTTACAAGTACAGTAGCTTTGTAGCAGTCAGGTAAAACAAACAAACAAACCAACTTCTTTTCTTTTGTTTATAAAAGAGATGCTTTTATTTGATCTGTCTTTTTTTTTTTCTCACAAGTGCGCCTTGAGCATTAGATTTCAAATAGATTTGGCACCTTATATATCTCATGCATGTATATCATTAGAATAATAGTTGATGCTTATGTCTGTCAGATTTGACGCAATCATTACCCCAGCCTTAGCACGGCTGCCATTATGGAATTAAGACGCTTTAGCATTCTAAGGAATTAATTCCTGCCAGGTACAGGGAAAAAATTAATATTTATATTTTTGAGGCTACTTTTCAACCTTGCCTGCATGAAAATAACATTCTTAAATTTGTTTTGCATTGAACTCTATGCAAATTTAAGGGGCTCTTTTCTGATTTTTGGGGGCTCTTTTGGGCATTTCGGGGGCTATTTCGCCCTGAGCCCCCGTGTATTTTTGTCACTGGCCAGGTACCCATTTATGTCACCTGGGTGGAGTGTGGCAACTATAAATTAGTGTTTGGCGGGACTTGAACCGGGGACCTTGTGATCCACTGTCCTGTGACATATCCACTCGACCACGACACCTTCATAAGATAAATGTGTTATACTCACTGGTTTTGGATAAGTTGTATCGTCAATGCACTTTTTCCTACACCTCCAGCTGTCGAAGATAAAAATACAGGAATGTGTTAATTAGCATAACAATAACCTAGAGATTTAAAAAAAAAATCACACAAGGCCTTGATAAAAAATCAATGACCATCATCATTTTCATTTATATTTTAATACTGGATAAAAATGTATACCACACATGTAATAAAAGGTAATAATGCATGTACTTTTGTTTCTTCAATTTCCTGTAATTCACCACGTACATGTATGCAACTTATAATGATAGCAAGGAATTAACAAATCAGCTACATTTATTGTGCTTCAAAAATATACATGTACAACTGTATACTTCAATGAAAGATTTTTGTATCAATGTAGCTCATACATTGTACAAAGAACCATTTCAAATGTTTCTATAGCAAAAGGGGCACTCGTATTCGAACATCAACTCAGCCAGATACATGTAGGTTAAAAATAAAGTCTTTTAGTGAAATATACAATGTACATGTACATGTACCGATACATGTAGCACAATAAATGTACTGTACCTAATTTGCTACTGGAACCATGGACTCAACTAGTAAGTCCATGCTGGAAATCTGTGTTACGAGGCCTGCATGTAAGCCTAGGTTTTTGTTGGCTCCATTTTTAAAAGGAAATACATGATACCACTCAATTGTCATATGATATATGTAATCCTGAATAATATTTGAAGCACTTCAGTGATCATACAAACAAGTTGTAAATATCCATATGTACATGTCCACGTTAAGGCTGTGCACAACCATGTAATGAGGTACCCTAATACACTACCAGGCTTACAAGCGAATACTCGAAGATTCGGACGCCATGTTTTTTTTTAATTTATTTATTTTTTAAATTTTAAATTTTAATTTTTTGCCACCACCATACAACAGGAGCAGTATCCCAGGTCTGTCTCCGAAAACTCACAATTTTACTTCGAGTTGCAGTTGAAGGCGTTGATTTAATAATAATGATAGCAGTAAACAATGCTGATTTAACAACCAAAGATGGCAGAATAATCCATTTTCCTCTGAGTCCAAACAGAAATCCGGACATTTGGTCCCAGTTTCTGGGTGGTGAGTTTGACAGTGATTTTTGCAGTTGAAGGTGTTGATTTAATAATAATGATAGCAGTAAACAATGCTGATTTAACAACCAAAGATGGCAGAATAATCCATTTTCCTCTGAGTCCAAACAGAAATCCGGACATTTGGTCCCAGTTTCTGGGTGGTGAGTTTGACAGTGATTGAGCTTGGAAACATTTTTACCGATAGTACCATGCCAGCGCCCGGCGCTCTCCCTGGCACGGGTAAGCGTCGGCCTGGACAGTGCCAGGTGACCGGGAATTTTTTTAATTTTTAATATTTTTTTTGCGGCCGAATATTCAAGTACAAGAAAATGTACTCGAGTACATGTAGTTGGCAACAGTGCTAGTAGAGCATTCGACTACTCGTCGCAGCCCTTGTCCACATGTACAAATGTTTATGTATACATGCATATATTGTGCACTCTTCCATTAAACCAATCATTATTTGAATTGAAATTTATCAACTCAATTTCCAGATAAATTGTGGTGGCTAGTTTGGAGAAAAAGTACATTTTTCATTAATTACGGAGGTTTCTCATTGAAATCTCTGGGCACTGACCAATTACCGATAGCCTACAATGTACATACACATGTGTACATGCAATGCAGTATGTGATGTACATTGTTTACTGCATTACTATGAGATACGTGAATCTCACAAATTCAATAAATCACTGAAATTGAGACCCAAATTACTGCCCCAGGCATAAGTGTGTCTATACTCTATATAGAATTAAAGAGACACACTTTATTTCATCCCCCCCCCCTCCATTACAAGTTAATAGGGCTTGTTTGAATGAATTGCTCCGATAGAGTTTATCAATCATTTGTGTTGCCACAATTTTGTTACATGTAGGTTTGATTGTTCTATGACCAGTGGAGAAAGCCTGCACATTTGCAAAAAGAAAGATTTGGATGAAGCCTAAATTTGCCTTCTCGCTTTTTCATGTCAATATCTGATATCAACTACTGTACATGTATTTAAAGGTAGTACGCTGTATCAATCAAACAATGAATTAATAAATATATAATTCAATCAATATATACATCAATATATGAATCAAAACATGAATACCTACTTAAATTCCTCAATTAACCTATCAATCAATCAATCAATAAATCAATAATTGAATAAATAAATCAATAAATAAACAAATAAATAAACAATTAATGAATGAATACATAACAACATCTACAGGTAATTAATGAATACATTATTACGCCCTAAGGCATGTAAATAAAGGGTAAACACTATCCATCAACACCGACTAGCCTTACAAGAATTATATAAATGTGTACATGTACATGTAACACATATAACCTCGTGTATACCTTTTTTTTTTGGTACTCCACAGCCTCACACAAAGACAGTTTGCATGAATTACAGTGCACATGTATTGGACGGTTTAATGGAAGGAATTTGCATGATTTGGTCCGATGGAAACAGTTTGTACGATTTAGTTTAATGAAGTTTCATTAGTGGTATCTGTGGTTCGGGCGTTTCCCTCAATGCCCAGATACACACTGTACAGTGTAACCCCAGTAATTATGGATTGATACCTAGAAGGCTGGTTCTGACTCATGCACTGTTGACGTTCCCAACCACGTTTCATTGCAGATTTCTTTTGTCTTGTTATGTCATTGATCCAAGCCGCCACTCGTTTAATTCTCTCCCTCTATCTCTTTTCTACTCGGTCTGTTATCATCTTCCTTACTATCTCTGTCTCTCTCTGTCTCTCTAACACACACACAAACACTCTCTGTTTTAAAATCTCTCTCTCTCTCTCTCTCTCTCTCTCTCTAACACACACACACACACACACTCTCTGTTTTAAAATATCTCTCTCTCTCTTTCTCTCTTTGTCTGTCTCTCTTTTTTATTCTCTCTCTCTCTCTCTCTCTCTACCACACACACACACTATCAAAAAAAAATCTCTCCCTTTGTCTGTCTACCGGTATCTCTTTTCACACATGCATGCATGGACAGTTTTTTTCTCTCTCTAATCCTCCCCCCCCCCCCCCCACACACACACAACACACAGGAGGTTGCACACATGCAACAGAGGAATAACAGAGTTCACTGATTTGACATCTATAGTTTACAACTGAATTATCAATACCCCTTCTTAATTTGTTATTTTTTAAATATTTTTTGTATCTCAAGAACTGAAGGTGGACGGGTTGAATTAGCACCTTTGTTGAATGCTTTTTATACATGTATAGCTTTGCCACACTATCAAGAAAATAAATTGAGACAAATACTCACTTACTTAAAAATATACAACACCTCGGTCGAGTATGAATAATTTAGTTGTTACAGTAACTGTACATGTACTGTACATCTACACTTGATGAAGTAGCCAGTAATTACTATCTTTAGGCCTAATGCCCCACACTTGCACCATGAAAAAATGGAAAGGGGGGGGGGGGGGAGGGGGTTATATTTTACAAATAATTTATTCAAATGTACTAAACCTGGTAAGAGTATGAATAATTCAGTTGTAAACTGTACATCTACTGTACACTTGATGATGTACATGTAAGCCGATAATTTCTTTTATTTAAAAACTGTACATGTTTCTTCAGGCCCCACAGCATGTACATTGTATCTGCACCATTGAACATGGAAGAGAGAGAGAGAGAGAGAGAGAGGGGGGGGGGGGGGGGGGGGGGGGGGGGGGGTATCGGAGAGGCAGCAAGTGGTGTGACAAAAATCTTTTTGCGAAAAAGATGATTAATTGGAAAGACGATCAGTCTGACCTCTCTCCAGAAATGAGAAAAATTATTGTTTGTCAGAAAGATGAGTAACGAGGTGAAAAATTCAATTTTTTATATTTTTTATCAAGTCTTGTTCAAGAGCACTAAAGATTACATTTCTTGTAGCTCATATTTGCAAGTTTATAAAACTGATCCTCTAATGCTGGAGAGCTTCTTTTCTCTAGAAAGAAAGCAATACATTTAAAGGTAAGATAACATTTCAAGAAAAACAAATTGAATAGGTGTCTTCACTCACTGCCTGCCTGAAAAGGAAATTTGACTGTTTTGTGTTCTCCTTCCCTTTTGATCTTTTTTGTATGTTGTTCGTTTATGATATTTTTTTATTTTTTTTAGATAGTAAAATGTTTAACTTATTTATATTGGATTAGAATATCAGTGCACACTGAACATGGAGAAATATATCCTGTTCCACACCCCCCCCCCCCCGCCCTCCCCCAAAAATAAAAAAATAAAAATTGAATTAAATTATTAATAAATAAATAAAGAAACAACAGCAAGACCACAGAAGTAGCGACATACAACTAGTTTGAGGGCAATTAGACTCCTAAAAGTGTGGTGTATCGTCACTCTTTGGGAGACAGGAATGACCCATCTGTTACTTTTGTCTTTTCGCCCCTGATTTTATTTTCTTGTCGAAAACAGGGTGATATTACATTGTATGAGCGCTTTCACAGGTGATGGCATTGGCCTCTACTACCCTGGACAGTCCATAGCAGCTGGTCTTCTGATTCAGACCCTACGCAACCCAAGCTGGATAGGATACCAAGATTTGATGGAACAGTGAAAATCATACAGCGTGAGTCACAAAGAAACTTGATACTGTATATGTACATGTATGTGGTTTTGGGAGCTGTTTGTAAATATCATGCATTAGTATTCCAAGAACTTTACAACTATCCCCATGTCCACACACAACAAATTCATTGTACACTGTATAACTATCCTGAAACGGTATAGTTAAACCGTTTCGGGATAGTATTGTGTGTGTGTGTACGCTTAGTTACTAACGACACGTCGTATAACGAAACGTCTTATAACAAAACGCGGGTCTGGGGATCTGGGCATCGTTTCTAACTAGAACTCGATAAAAAATCACGGAATGTCTTGTGTGTGGACGTAACTAGTATAACTGGTTGAACTTGAAGGGTATAATTGGACGG